GGTGTCAGTTCTAGAAGGTGTTGTAAGTCTTCATAAAATTGGTCAATTTTAGTCTCCTCAGCATTGGTGGTTGGTGCATAAACTTGGATTATTGTGATGTTGAAAGGTCTGCCTTGGATTCGTATTGAAATCATTCTATCATTTTTTAGATTATATCCCATTATAGCTTTTCCCACTCTTTTGTTGACTATAGGGCTACTCCATTCCTTCTATGGTCTTCTTGCCCACAGTAGTAGATATGATAATCGTCTGAATTGAATTCACCTATTCCTGTTCATTTTAGTTCACTGATGCCCAGGATGTCAATGTTTATTCTTGCCATCTCCTGTTTGACCACATCCAGCTTCTCAAGGTTCACATATCTTACATTCCAGGTTCCTGTGTAGTATTTTTCATTGCAGCATCGGACTTTCCTTTTACTTCCAGGTGTGTCCTCAGCTGAGCGTCCTTTCGGCTTTGACCCAACCACTTCATTAGCTCTGGAGTTAATTGTCCTTGTCCTGTGCTCTTCCTCAGTAGCATGTTGGACGCCTTCTGACCTGAGGGGCCCATCTTCCAGCGTCATATCTTTTAGCCTTTTGTTTCTGTTCATGGGGTATTCTTGGCAAAGATACTGGAGTGGCTTCCTACTCTAGGTGGATTGTGTTTAGTCAGAACTCTCCACTATGACCTGTCCATCTTGGGTGTCCCTGCATGGCATAGCCCATAGCTCCTCTGAGTTACTCAAGCCTCTTCAGCACAATAGGGCAGCAATCCATGAAGAAGGTAGCTATCAATGATATCTATCTATTAAATGATACTTGAAAGTATGGTGGCTAGTGAATTTAGCCATTTTTTTGCAATTTTGAAAGTGCAGTATCTCAGAAACGCGTGGACCAAAAAATCTGGAAAAAAAATAGTTTTAAACATCTCATGGTAAGGTACAAATGTACCAAAAATGAACCAAATCCATGACATTAAGGATCCATGCATTGGTTGATTTGACATGGAATGACCCCACAGCTAATATTATTGGCTAATTAAATCATAAAATTGACACTTGTTTTTTCTTTCAGCAATTGGAGGTTAAAAACTGTGCCCCTCAGTGTCCCTTTTTTATTTTTTTAAATGAATCTGCTACCCATGTAAAATGGCATTTTCCTGTGTGTGTGTGTTTGTGTGTGTGTGTGTGTGTTCGTGTGTGTGTTCTGTGATGTTGGCCTACAGCAGTAGTTCTTAACCTTTTTACTCGGATGTTTTTGAACTGCAACTCCCAGAAACCCCAGCCAGCACAGTTGGTGGTGAAGGCTTCTGGGAGTTGCAGTCCAAAACTCCTGAGTAACCCAAGGTTAAGAACCAGTGGCCTACAGAACCAACCACAAATCGGAAATGTTGCTTTTTTGAACTTCCAGCTTCTAAAATGTTCAGCCAGTGTGAAAGTCATAGTCACAGATGATTCGTAATTCCCACCTCAGGGATCATCTGTCTAAATGTACCCCTTAGAGTTACCCATGATGCAGGGAGGGTGCATTCTGCTGCTTTTCACTGCTGAGTCTATCATAGGTGCCTGTGACCTCTTCACATCTAAGTTTTTTTTATGGGTCTCACTGTTACCATTGAGATAATAGTGGCTATAACAGTATGCTTTGAGAGTTGGGGAAAATGTAGTATCTGCAAGAGATCTTCCGCATGGGCTGAACTTCCTCATAATGACATTACCCATTCATTGATGTTGGTACAGCTTTTCTTTTGTGGACAAAATAATGGGGAAATGTTATGACTGCTTTTAAAAAGTGGATCATTTCTGCCTCTCATGTGCCTGTTTAGCCCAGTATTATCTGCTTTGATTAGCTGCAACATCTGGGGATTTAAATGGAGATTTTTACCATCACCAGCTCTTTGCTAACTGGAAATGCCAAGAGTTAATGTTCTACAATTGAACTTGTGAACAGTCTCTGCGAGAAATCTCTTAAAATGTTTAAAATAGTATGTGCTTGTGTTGCAAATAAATAAACAAATCTCTGAATTATGTTCCTAACAGTATCTCCAAAATGACCGAATTTCAATGTGCATTTTAGCTCTTCAGTGCCTTTTCACATTTTCCGTTGTAGTACCCAATGGGATGAACCATTCTCCCCCTACACTGAATGGAGCACCATCACCCCCTCAGAGATTCAGCAATGGGCCTGCCTCTTCTTCTTCTTCTTCACTAACAAATCAACAGCTACCTGCGACCTGTGGGGCTCGACAACTCAGCAAACTGAAACGCTTCCTTACTACCCTCCAACAGTTTGGCAATGATATTTCACCAGAGATTGGGGAGAAAGTTCGGACCCTTGTTTTGGCATTGGTGGTGAGTGTTGAATTTGAGAAGCAGAAGCTGAGTTGGTGACAAAATCATCTTATTATATTGGCCAAAATCCTGTTATGATTTTATGTGGACATAGTGTAAATGCCAAAGCTTTCAGAGGTGAATTGCTTCACATATAAAAGTCAGCATAGACCTTACCTTTTCATACTAAGTCATGTGACTTCAGACAGAATGGATAATGTGTACACTGACTTCTAATTTACCTCCAAAAGTTGTACCATCTATGTTACAGTTGTGGGTGTAAGTAGTAGGATTTTGTCCACTTTATCAGTGTAGCAATGCTGTCTTGAAACCTCTTTTCTCAAATGTGATTGTTTATCTTTTTTTAGAAACAATTTCTTCTTGATCATTTGATACGTAATTAATTATCTGATGTTGTGTGATTTGAATTTCATCTTTTTAAAAGAGAAATAGACTTCATCAGCATGTGTTTTAACAAGTAGAGTGGTGCCTCGCTTTACGATTGCCCTGCCTTACGACGAAACTGCTTAAGGACAATCTTTTTGCGATCACAATTGCGATCACAAAATGATGGTCTGAATGGGGGAATTTCGCTTTGTGATGATCGAAGCAGGGAACCGATTCTTCGCAAAACGACGTTTTTCAAACAGCTCATTGGCGGTTTCAGAATGGCCGCTGGGTGATTAAAATGGCTCCCCGCTGTGTTTAGGGACAGATTCCTCGCTATACAGGCAGCGAAAATGGCCGCTGTATGGAGGATCTTCGCTGGACCGTGAGTTTTTACCCCATTGGAATGCATTGAATGGGTTTCAATGCGTTTCAATGGCGTGTTTATTTTCGCTTTACGATGTTTTCGCTTAACAGTGATTTTCCTGGAACGGATTATCGTCGTTAAGCGAGGCACTACTGTGTCTTTTAATTCATTCTTGATCTACATGGTATTGAAATAAAATCTACTCTGAAGATACAGTGGTGCCTCGCTTGACGACGTTAATTTGTTCCAGCGAAATCGCTGTAGAGCGAAAACGTTGTCAAACAAAATAAAAAACCCCATTGAAACGCATTGAAAACTGTTCAACGCATTCCAATGGGCTGAATACCTGCTCGTCCAGTGAAGATCCTCCATACAGCGGCCATTTTCGGTGCCTGTAAAGCAAGGAATCCGTCCTAGAAAACAGTGGGGGGCCATTTTCTTCAGCCAGCGGCCATTTTGAAACCTGACGATCAGCTGTTTGCTGATCGTTGTGGTTCCTGAAGCAGGGAACCGATCATCGCACAGCGGAAAAAAACATTTAAAACATCATTTTACGATCGCAAAAGCGATTGCAAAAATGTCAACGTAAAGCGGATTCATCGTAGAGCGGGGTAATAGTCCAGCAGGGCACGACTGTACTCTGCTGAAAAGAAATAGAGTGTGTGCATGCTATGCTGCTGTCCTGATCTGTGTAGTCCTATGAAGAAAGAGTATACTTTTCATATCAAAATACTTTGGAAACCTTATATCTATAATCATATATTATAGATTGTTAAGAGAAGTTATTCACTAAACTGCTAGGAATTGAGGCAGCATAGAACATGGTGGATCTGTGTTTAGCATCAACATTCAAATCAGTGGGCTTTCTTACTCTGCAGAGAGTGAAAACTTTGTGAGGGTGTACTGGACCTATGTTTATTTTAGCAAAGTTTTATCTTTGTTTCAAAAGAGTTGAATAATATTATTGCTGGAGAAAACAATAGCTGGTTGAACAGCCATACCCAGCAAGTCCTCATGAATGACTCTATTTTAATGTGAGCTTACATGTGCATGTCTGTTTCTTCAGATATTGTCTTTATTTTTTTACGTTTGTTTTGTTTTCCCCTGACATGCTAGCACAGACTAAAACTACATGAATGATTGTAAATCTGGAAAAGAGCTTTTGCATGAGAGTGCTACAGAGCTCAGTCATAGAATAAATACTGTTCAGTATTTTTGTAAATGATTTGAATCAGGGATACATCAGGGATACTTATGCAGAAGTTACAGAGTGTGAGGTGATAGCCAAAACGGCAGAATACAGAAACAAAATTCCGTTGTCTTCTGTTTAGGTTCAAGAAATCAGTGATAGAACTATAGGAAGGAGATACAAAACTGGAGCATGTCCACTGGAAGGTAACAGGAATGGTCAGTGATCTGAATATTAGGAACATAAGATCCTGTAAAGGATGGTGCTGGCTGGATAACTCACTGAGTTAGGTCACTGGTTCCACTAATATGGGTTAGTGGATACAAAGTGTAGGGGTTGTCCACTGTGCATTCCAGAAGAGTCCACCTTTGTAGATTTGGGCAAGCTACATAGTTCCAGGGACCCTCCATAAAAAGGGAATGGCAAACCACTTCTGAGAACACTCTACCTAGAAAACCCCGAGAAAGGCAGTTGCAAGTCACCGTTGACTTAATGGTACACAAATTATTAATTAATGAATGATAGAAAAAGATGATGTGGTTACCTCTAGAAGTGAAGGTATGATAGCAAGTGTCAAATATCTGCAAGCTGATCATACAGAAGTAGACTTGTTCTGTGTAAGGTCTCCCTTGACTACAATTTTGCCTTCTGTTTAGTTTTGCGTGTCTGTGTTTATTTCACTTGGAAAATTCTGTTAATGGTGTGCAAATGAGTGTGAAATCTGAAGTGTGATCTGTGTGTTCTGCTGTATGTGACGTGGAAGTCAGTGCTGACCTGGATACTAAGAATTATTGGTTCATCCATAATAAATGAAAGGCAACTTTTGAAACAGACTGAGTTTGGGGAAAGAATGGGGCTAATAAAATTTTATTTGAGCTGGGAAAAGATCACTTTCATTCCCTCTCTTTTTACAGAATTCTACTGTAACAATAGAGGAGTTTCACTGCAAGCTTCAGGAGGCTACCAATTTTCCTCTGCGTCCATTTGTGATCCCATTCTTGAAGGTGATTGGTTTAATGTCTTGTATCAACCAGTAGTGTTATTTGTATGAGCCAATGAGAACAATATTCTTTATGGCACACTCTATAGATCTGCCCAAGGATGTCAGTGAAATTATACTGAACATCTAGTCACACTCATAGAAGCGGTTTTCATCTGAACTGCAAGAGTTGACCCTACTGACACATTCATTTTTATGGAAGGGCAACAACAAACAGTTATTATTTTATTAATCTTATATTTTCACTCACAGGAAAAAGGCAGAGGTTCTTGTGAAACTTGCACCTCAGATGCTAAAATGTAATTTTGTTGCTTTGAGGTGCTGTGCACTTCAAATTGAGGGGGAAGGGTTGCAGCATTTGCTGTTTTGCTTCAGACAGCTGAATTTCTTGGGTTAGTCATGCTGCAAGTACAGGAGTATTTGAATTTCACCTTTTAGTACCTCATAGCCACATTTTAACAAACAGAAATGTAGTGCACCAGAAAACTAAGAACAGGAGAAACCAAAGAGATTTATGAAAGAGGCACCTTTAGAAATAGAAATAAGATTAATAAAAGAATGTAATGGCAGACTGAAACTAGAATGACGCAGTGTACTACAAAAGAAGTGAAACATTCTCCATGATTAATTCCTGCTAACCTCATAAAAAGAAGGCAGTACAGTGGCGCCTCGCTTAGCGATGTTAATTCGTTCCAAAAAAATCGCTGCTAAGCGATTTCATCGCTAAGCGAAACACGGTTTCCCATTGAAATGCATTGAAAACCAAATAATCCATTCCAATAGGAACAAATTTCTGCCCTTAAGCGAAAATCGCCATAGGAAACATCGCTAAGCTAAACGCGGTTCCCCAATTGAAATGCATTGAAACCTATTCAATGCATCTCAATGGGGGAAAAATACAACAACAAATTAAAAAAGAGTCAGAACAAAGTCAAATTTGGTTAACAAAGGGTTTATTAAGTGCACTTTATGATTTGAAACATTTTAAACAGTAAACTTTAACTTTATAAATAACAGAAAAACATTTAAAAAACAGCAAACATGAGGCTGTTTAAACCATCGTTAAGTGAAACAGGTGACCGAAAATTTAATCGCTATGCGAAGCATGGTCCCAACCATCGCTAAGCGAAAATCGCCCATAGGGACCATCGCTAAACAAAGTGCAAAAACACTCCGAAAAAGTTGTCGCTAAGCGATTTCATCGCTAAACAGAGCGCCTGTTAAGTGAGGCACCACTGTATAACTTGGTTTTTAAAACCTTGGGACTTTGAAGCAGTTGAGATTATCATTTACAGTAACAGCAGCAACAAGGAAGACCTTGAGCTCTGAAACCCAGAAGAGTCCGTTTCTTTTTAAAAACTGCATTGGCTGACCTTGGCTTGGGAATAATTTCATGAAAGTTCTGGATATGTGAGGGAAGCCTTGCCATATATGATCAATAGACTGCTAAGACATTTTTCTCTCCTTATGCTCTCCTTAGTAGACTGCGGTCAGCCGAGTAAGCAGACTGTGTACCCATTCTTTGCCTGTAATGTCTCAGGTCATGTAACAGAAGTAACTTCCTTATTTTGTTTTATTTGATAAAGTGGAACGGCAAATAGAAATTATTCTTCCCCACTGCACAGATCACTTTCCCTGGAGTGCTATCTTAAGAGACATTACATCAAATCAATGACCCATGTGGGCCTGCTTCTACCTTTTCTCTCCATTAATCCAAGTACTCCCTTATGTAGGACCATTGCAAGATATTAGTTCTTTTTTGTGCATAGTTCATATGCATAGGGAAGCAGAAAGAAGGGACTCTTGACAGGATCAGTAAAGTAGACACTATCAAGCTTTCTGTCCTTTGTATTCTTCCTCCAAAGGGACAACCATCTGTTAATTTACTGGTTCAGCTGTAGTGAGGTTCCCCTCATTGTCCTCAAGACAAACCTGGGACAAAATATATTTCTGATTATGTTCCAGCCTGTGATAAGTGCAGTGTTAATGATGTCACCTAATTTTTCTTCATTTGCTCTTGAGGAGGCCCACATGACTGACTTTTAAGGAAAGGAGGGTGTCATCAGAGAACCTTTGTTTTAGCTACTGTACTGCTACTATAGGCCATTAGATGAACAGCACCATTAGGGGCTCCACAATTTTGGAAACCAAATAGCAATCATACTATTCTTTTGCAGGCCAACCTTCCACTTCTACAGAGGGAGCTGCTGCACTGTGCTCGAGCAGCCAAACAAACCCCTTCTCAGTACCTGGCCCAGCATGAGCATATCCTCCTGAATACAAACACTGCTTCACCAGCTGACTCTTCAGAACTGCTGATGGAAGTGAATGGAAATGGAAAGAGGCATAGTCCAGACAGGTATCAAGGAGTATTTACAAAGCACAAGATCTGTTTAAAAAAGGGTACTGTTTGCTCATTTTATGACAGACTTTCCAAACCACCTGCCCTTCCAAATTTGATGGGTCTTTGGTTGCAATTTGCATGCACAGTGGTGGGAATAATGGGGGCTGTAGCCCCACACACATGGAGTAGCAGTTAAGGAAGGCTGAATTAAAACTTCCACTGGAATGTAGCTGAATGTCCTGCCATAAACATAGGCTTTTTAGATATTTTGGATTTTGCAACAAGCTTGGGGAGGACTTTTCTCCTGCATTTACCTGACACAAGGCTAACCAAATGTCTTGCATTCAGTTCTTTTCTGCAAACGGTATAGAGACAACAGAGGGAGATTAAGGAAGAAAACAAGGTGGACAAATGCATTAGGTCTGCATGAAATTGATAGCTATTGGGAATAATTGGTTGATGGGGAAGGGACACCAGTGGGAGAGGGCTATTTCCCTCTTGTTTTGCTTGCTGGTTTCTCAGAGGCATCTGATTAGTTTGAAACAGTGGATCATTGAGACATGACACACAACATGCGTGTTTTTGTTTCTGAACTTCATAGCAGGAGTGAGGAGGGGTGCTTTTTAATCAGGCCTGCAGCATATTAGGAGACTTTCAGCCCTTCAGCAGCACACTTGTTAAAATTTGTCATTCTCTTGTGTTTTACATGGGTGTTTCATCTGACCCAGAAGAGCTCTCCTTATGTGTCATCTCTAAAACTTTTTACTTAATGGCTTTTTCAGCAAGTTCATTTATATGGCTCTGTTATCCTGCTAATTAGTGATTTCATTCCTTAAAGAAAACACACAAACAATCTGTGCTTCTCTGAACGGAAAGGCTAAATTACTTGCTTTTCTGTGAGCAAATGGTTTTCTTAACACTAATGGATGCCTTCCTTTGCTGATTTGTTTGCAGGAGGGAAGAAAACAGCTTTGAGAGAGAGCCGCTCCCTTCCGAACCTCCTGCCAAGAGGGTGTGCACCATTAGCCCAGCACCTCGACACAGTCCGGCTCTGATGCTGCCCATCATAAATCCAGCTGGGCAGTTTCATCCCACTCCGCCTCCACTCCAGCATTATACTCTGGAAGAAATTGCAACTTCCCATTTGTACAGAGATCCAAGCAAGATGTTGGAGCACAGAGAACTGCGAGATCGACATGGTATAGGTAAGGAACACACTTTGTGTCAGACAACTAGTTGTATATTTTCAAATCTGTTTCCTTAGTCATGAATGCTACAAACTCAAATGGAGGCATAGAATCTGAGGATGGAGCACTCTACTCAAAGCAGAGGATCTCATTCCTGTGTGACTAAATCAAACCCAGACACAAACACACAGAACCTCCTTATTGATTTTACAGTCCTCTGGATTTTTTTTTTTTAAATCCAGGATATATTTAGAGCAGGGGTGGAGTACATGTGACTCTCCAAACATTGTTGGAGTACAGTTCCTATTGCATCAATTGGCTAAGCTGGCCAGGGCTGATAGGATATGGAATCTAATCATATTGGAGCATTAAAGTTTCCCCATTCTTGTTTGGAACACTAATTGTTCTCCCAGCTCCATTCAGTCTTTCTCTATTGCATCAGGCTTCAAGATACTTTCCTAATTACATTTTTCTTGCCACTCCAAATAGGGTTAAACGGAGGCTATCAAGATGAGCTTGTGGACCATCGCTTAACAGATCGAGAATGGGCTGATGAGTGGAAGCATCTGGATCATGTAAGAAAGTGAAATCAGGAGGGCAGTGCTGAAAAAGGCCATTCTGCTCCTCTTAGCATAGACTGCTTGATGAATTCTATCCAATCAGTATTGAGAAACAGACACCTATCAATTCAGGCTATTTGTTCATCTACCCCAGTCTTGCCCATTCTGATAGTTAGCACAAATCTAGTAGCATATCACCTGCTATTTCATTGTTTAAACTGGAGATGCCAAAGGTTAAATTTGGAACCTTTTGTATATAGAGTTGAGGGAAGTACTTCTTCAACAGCTCATAGTTAAACTCGAATTCACTGTCAGAAAAGATAATGACTGACTTGAATAATTTGAAAAGAAGATTTGGGTCTGCTAATCAAAAACCATCCTACTCCCCTCAACTCCACCTGTAACACAGGTGATGGTCCCCTCTGTGTTGGTTGCTAGAGAGCACAAGTAGGCGAGTGCTGTTGCAATCACATATTGCTTGTGGGTTAGCTACTAGTTTGCCACTATGTAAACAAAATGCTGGACTAGATAGGCCTTTGGTGTGATCCAGCAGGACTCTGAGATTCTCTGCCACCGAGTTCTGATGAGGTGGTAACATGTTATGCACACAACCAAAATAAACTTACATAGGATTATGTGTCTATTCTAAAGAGGCTATAATGTAATGACAGGACACATCTTTTATGTGTGCAAAATCCCAGTTTCATTTCCTAACATCTCCAGTTGCAGGGCAGGGGAAAAATCCTCCAGAGACTCTGGAAAGATGCTGCTGATTAGTAAACCATATGGAGCAAATGGACCAGTTGTCTACCTCTGTGTAAGGAAATCTTGCAAGTGATTCTCTGCAGTTTGCAGACTGCTTGTTTTCCCCAGTTCAGGATTTTACATGGAGGAAAACTCTTTCAAAGAATTAAGCAGGAGCTTCAGGGCTTGGGTGGCTGCTGGCAGACATACTTATTCAGGTTTTTGTTCGTTTGTTCCCCATTCTCATTTCACTAGCATTTGGTATGAGTTCCAAGGGAAATGTGACTCAAGGGAAGAAATGAGCTGGATTTTTCAGAGTAATCTGCTTTCATAATGGCTTGCTACTGAAGTTTTGTGGTGGGTAAAAATGTGTGCCTATAACCTGTGCAGCACATACCAGTCTGTGTGCCAAAACAGGCATAAAGTAGGGCCATTATCTGCATGTGATCCAGAAGACCTTTATTTGCTTGTAGGTGTACAAAGGAGCAGCTTTCTTGCTGCTGTTGTAGTTCTCAGGATCAAACTTGTAATTTAGGAATCCCCACATTTCATATAGCGCTTAAGACTATTCAGGCCTAAATCCAGGAGTTAGTCCCAATTAAAGTAAACCCATTGAATCAATAGGAATTCAGTAAATCTGTTTTTATACATTTCATAGATTCACTGTGTCTCCTATAGTTGCAACAGAATTTTATATGTTACAAAGGCATATCTTTAAATCTATTCTGGGGAGGGGAAACATGAAACTTCTGATGTAGGCCAAAGCAGTACCATCAAGCTGTAGTTCATTTTATTGAATGTCTTGATATTTAAGTTTGCCTGTTAATACTTGTTTATAGAAGACATTGTTCAATTTGTGAAAGGCATTTTCCTCCATATTTTGCCATTGTCCTCTATACATCACTCTAGAAAGAATACCTAGAATTAATGTTATATACAGAAATTCCATTGTGAATAGGTCAATAATGAATAGAGCCTTGTATATTACTTACATTTGAAAAACAGATGTTCATTTAATGTTGGCATCTTGATTTTTGTTATAATTTACTTGCATCCTAAAGTGGCAGGATCCTAATCAGAAAATGATTACAAGAAAATGTTCCATTAAATATTTCACAATCTAATGCATGCAGTAGGCTCAATGTAGAAAATTGACGTAAGGAATTTTGTAGAAGTGCATAAACTTATGTAAAACAATTTTGTTGCAAATACACAGATTATGAAGGAGAACACACTTAAGATCCAAACTCTGTGATCAACAGTGACATGTGATACAGCTGTTGTTTACCACTTCAGGTGTTGGATTGCGTGCTTCAGAGTTCTCATTTAAAAACAAAAAGTCTTATTTTTAGCAAAAGAGTGTGTTTTCATGATATTCACTAAGTCTTTTCCATGATCTGCTGTGTTTTTTTGTTGTAGGGTCAGAGGATTTATTTGGTTTTTCAAGATATTGTTCAAACAAGCTGTTTTGCTATTTGAAATAGCACTATCAGGCCAAAGCTGTGCCAGCTCTGTTATTTTAATAACAATGCAGTTTGCATCTGAATTTATTATTTTAAAGTTGAAAAAAAGAGGAAATACAGTTTCTAGCAATGTTTTTCTTTTTCCTCTTTGAAGGCACTGAATTGCATTATGGAAATGGTAGAAAAGACCAGACGTTCCATGGCTGTTCTCCGCCGTTGTCAAGAAGCCGATAGGGAAGAGCTCAATTACTGGAAGAGGCGATGCAGTGAACCCACAGAGCCCCGGAAAGGAGGGAATGATTTAATTGCAAGACAACATAGCCCAGGGAGTTCGGACTCTGTTAGCAGTGGTACGCTCTGAATCTTGGGATCTGTTGCACTATGTTAGACACAGATTGGCATTTAACCACCATTTTAGGAAGGGGCTTTGTCTTGCTACCACTGAAGGTTTGGACCTGAATGTGGCTTTTGTACATCCTTTGTAGGAGTGGACACAGCAAATCTTAGTCGCCCAACTACCCTCTACTTCCCTACCAAGGAATCTTAGGTGGATATATATTTATTTGGAAAATCTGAAGCTGGGGGGGGCTTTGGTGTAGGTGTCTGATGGTGTTAACTTCTGTTATACTGTATGCTGTCAAGACTTGGTTAGTAGGAGGAAAGTTACTCATGTACAGGCAAAAGTTCTAACTATAGATTAGGATACTGAATCATGGTAGAGGAGAGCATTGAGGAAAGAGGGAAGCCCAGTTCCACCACCCCAGAAACCTGAAAAATGGTAAACTTCACAAGGTGCTGAAGCCAAAATTTAGTTTAATTTAGAAAAGCACTCCACCACTGATAACAGTGTGGTTTACATAGAATCTAAGTGTCTTTAGTTCCTTTTAGAATTTGTCGTCTGTAGAGGTAGAGGAGCAATGTAAGTGGTCCAAGTATGAGAAAGAGAGATAAAGATATAGATTCAATTTTTGGAGCTGAGAGAGTGCTTTATCCTCTGGTTTCTCCAAATTAGTGGCTAGGGTCAATTTACAATAGCTGGAAGAAATGCATTGCTTTTAGCCTGAAAGTATACATTCACATCATCTGAGTAGCACATGCTAAAAACAGTGAGGACACAGCAACATTGTTCACATTTCTTCTTGCTCAGTCTCTTGTAACTGAATGCCAAACTAGATGTTGAGGAAATATGTGATCCATGTGATTAGTGCGTTCTCCTTCCATGAGATTTCTTATAGATAGATGTTTCAGAATGCAATTAGCAAATTGAGTCCATGTTTCCTTTGCAGTGACCAGTCATAAAACAAAGTGTGGCTAAATGCAAGATCCAGTTCACCACTTGAGGGAGCACTGCTTCTAGAAATAAGCCAGATGTGTAGTCTAGTTTGACCCTTAGAGTTTCCTAAAATATAGCTGGTACTTCCGTTGACTTTAATATCTGAAATACAAGGCAGCATGGAAAATGTGAAGTGTTATTGGCAAGGATTAATATCCAGTAAAGCAGGACAAAGTATATGCTTGACAAAATACGCTTATAAGCCTGCAGTCTGTGATTACGGAGAATCAGAAGATGAAAAGGGGTTGTGCTGTATGATGAATTATGCAGAACACTAAATTAATAGTGGCTATTTTTCATTTTGCCATGAGGTGAATATTTTTAACTACAGAAATCTCTTGGCTTGATTTTAGCAATTAATCCTTTCATGTTCTTCCTGTATTACCTCTTGCTGAACAGATGCTTTGTAATAGAGCTTGGGAGAGAGAATATTTCAAATATTTTTGTTACAATTTTTCCTTCTACAGAATCTCAGCGGGAGTTCAGTAGCAGGTCAGGAGGGGCAGCTGGCTATGTTGCTGAAGAGATATGGAAAAAGGCTGGTAAGTGAAGAGGCCTTCCTCAGAGGTCGGAAACCACATGTTGTCTAGAAAAAGGCACATGACTGTTTTGCTGTCTCATTGCCTTAAAAATTGCAGTGTTTAGAGCTAACCAAGCTTGAAATAGAGGGATGTAGCTGGTCCAAATACCACTTGATATTTGGGAATTTGAATCAGACAGTCAAAGAGCATCAGCGTCTTCTCCAGCCAGTCTGTTAGCAGAGATCTGCATTCTGTTGCCACTTGGCATATTCAGCAGGATCAGTCCAGGACATTTTACTGCCTGAGGCACACATGATGATGTCCACTCCCAGGTCATGTATCAAAATCAACTGGACTGAATCTTGCTGGGATCTTACTTCAGTACTGATCATGGAACAGCATCCTTTACCAACCTTGGAAATTGCAATATAGGCTAGGAGATTGAGGGCAGTCCACTTAGCTCATAATTTTCTCTTTAGATTTCTACTGCTACCTTCCGGCCTAGGTGATAACTCTGTCTGATCGTAGAGTTGGTCCTAACGTTCAGACTGGGAATAGCTTGGGCAATTGGTAATGAAGACAACAGTCACTGAGTCTCTGATTTAGTTTCTGTCTGTGGAAGCAGCTGCCATTTTCCCATAGCAGAATAGTGGGAGGGACAAGGGAAAGGATGAAAATTGTGTCCGGCCCATCAGAGGAATGGGTAAAAGGTGACAATAGATGGAAAAGAATGTTTGCAGAACTCTGTTTTTTAACCATATGTCAAAAAAAATTCTAAGCATTTTTTGTTAATCCAGTGCAACAAAATATCAGGGTACTGATAAATGTTTTCAGCAGTTTCAAAAGCAGTCCTTTATTGTGGAAAAATAGCTGGTGATGCTTTAAGCTACCATTATAAATTAGCTCTAAAACTGACAAGCTCAAATGAAACATACAGTCTCTAAGAGCAGGCAAACCTTTTTCTTATTTACAGTGGTGCCCCGCTTCACGATAACCCCATTAGACGACAGAATTGCTTTACGATTAGTTTTTAGCAATCGCAAAATGACGATTCAATTAGGACTTTTCGCTTTACGTTGAATCGGTCCCTGCTTCGGGAACTGAGTTTTCTCTTCACCATGATCAAAAACAGCTGATTGTCGGGTTTTCAAAATGGCCTCCTGCTGTTTTCCGGACCTATTTCCGGAAGACAGCGATTGAAAATGGCTTCCCCTATGGAGGATCTTCGCTTTACGATGAGGTATTTCGCCCATTGGAACGCATTGACCGGTTTTCAATGCATTTCAATGGTTTTTTTACTTTTGCTTGACGACGATACTGCTTAACAGCGATTTTAACGGAACGGATTGTGGTCATCAAGCGGGGCACCACTGTATGTTCTTTCAGAAGGGATACCTAAAAATGTATAACATAGTGCTTAGATATATTTTTTAGCCTTAAAGAAAACATTTGAACACAGGAAAATTTCCTTTGAATACACAGAAATTTAATTTGGTGCGTTGTTGTGGGTCATGCCACTTCGTTAAAGAGTCAGCAAAGTTATCTTTATGTCCTGATGTCAGTGATTCTTGTAAATAGGAAGGAGATAAAATGTGCCCCAAAGGACAAGCAGCAAGACAAACAAAAGGGGGATAAACAGCATCAACCAGGTAGTTAGGTGGGTAACATTTCGGTAACTACTTCAGCTGTGTCAGGTGAGCTGGTTTTTGCAAGTAATGGCAAAATTGATTTTAAACTCTAGTGTAGCCCACTTAGCAGAATAGCTCTCCTTTAGTATCCTCCACATACTTGATGATGTAGCTCCTGTAAATCCCATGTATCATGGCCAGTGACTGGTGATTATGTGTGATGTATTCTCAGCTATCTTGATGGCACTGTGTTGGGATGGCTAGACTGGAATTCTGTGAGTGTGAGATTTTGATGCTGAAAGCTCAGGATGAAATTCTGCTTGTGCATAAAATGTTCTGAGTATTTTTGGATACATTAGTTGTTCTCACTTTGAGTTGATTTGCAACTTCAATGTGAAGGTGAAGTTTTATTTCTTTTGACCCTTTCTTCATCTCAGTAGATTCCCATCTCAGTGCACATGTAGCACATATTTACCAGCCTAAGCTTGTGGCATAACGTTGGAATGCAGGCTAAAAAAAAGTAGCAAAAGAAACTACAACTTTTGTTGAAAACAAAATAAAATGTCTTCATTCTACTTTAACTGTTTCCAGTAGTCCGGAATAGAAATAAGATAAAAAGCAGTTAAAACCCTGCTGTATTTGCCTGTTAGGGAGATGATAACATTTGCTAGGTACAGAAATGTATCTTGGATTGCAGTGTCATTTATGTCCATTGTATGCTGTATATTTTCATTATATGTACAGGAATTATCATTCTCTAATTCTGGACATACAAATTCTTTAATTGTTTCATGCAAATATAGCACACAGTTCTTGGCATTTTGAATGAGTAAAAGGATTTCATTCATTCCAGAAATGAAAATACTTCTTTATCAGAGATATTTCAAACATTCCTTGAAGGACATTTGTGCTTGGACCCTTTCCCGCTAATCCTTCTGTCTTCCCCCCTCCAGCTCTTCTCAACCAGTTTCTAAAATAGTATTCATGGATTTCCATTAGCCCTATCAAGTTGGTTGATAGAATAGCTAGTGTATACTTTGATCTATACTGTATCCAGTTCCAAAGTTTGAGCTCCTTTTAGGAACCATTAAATGCATGTGTGCAAAATAATGTCCAGGTACTCTTAAATAAGTAAGGCAGTAAAGCTCAGTGGGTTAGACCGATGTTTTTGTGGAGGTAGGGACTGGGAGTTTGAATTCCACTGTGCCTCCTGGGGGAGGGGCCAACCAAGACCACCCAAAGTGCGTGTGGTTGATGGGGTTACATGGTCTGCCAGTTGTGCCATTTTGTACAAGCTATATGGTAAATCACTCTCAAGTGCTCTTTACTTAAAATCCTTGAGAGGGTCACTATACATTGGCAATGATAGCACATAAATTAATTTCCTCTTAAACAATGTAGCAAAATACATAATAGCTCAAACCTAGCAAACCATCTGTAAAGGTTGACCATCATTTCAGGAGGAAAGCTGATGTACATCCAGAATTTACTCCAGTGGCTACAGGTTGATTTCTGTTGTGAACCGTCCTTAGCTTTCATCTGAGAGACCAGTCAATGAGGTTTTTGTTTTCTTTCAGAAGAAGCTGTGAATGAAGTGAAGCGTCAGGCCATGTCTGAAGTCCAAAAAGCTGTTGCAGAAGCTGAGCAGAAGGCCTTTGAAATGATTGCATCTGAGAGAGCCCGCATGGAACAGACCATTGCAGATGCAAAGCGCCAGGCAACTGAAGATGCTTTCTTGGTGATTAATGAGCAGGAGGAGTCTACTGAGGTGAGGTGGCAGTTTTGAGAGCACGAGGGAAGAGGCAAGATAACATTTACTTTCATGGTTTTTTTCTTGGTTCATCATTTCTGTTTATTCTGCTCTGATTCTATTAATTTTTATCTTTATTCAAACACTGATTTTTGGAGGCTTCTCTCCAGCAAGCAGCTTAGTCTTGCTTTTTAGAGAGGAACATGCTGTTAAACTGCAGCTCCCATCAGCCTTATCTGACATAGCCAATGATGAAGGATAATGGGAGTTGCAGTCTACCAGCATATGGAGCTCTGCTGTGACATGTAAAATGGTTTTGAGAAGTGCTGTTCTTGGACACTTTGCTGATTGTGTGGGAGCAGCTGCAGAGAAGAGCAGTGTCAACAGTGACATTTTTCCCAACTCTGCTAGGTGCCTTATACTGGATTCGCAAAACTATAGTGGGTGAAATACAGACAAATGAACCACGTGTCTATGATCCTTTTTCACAGCAGTACTCCCTCATCCTAGCTTTCTATAATGTTGATATGCCATTCTTTCAGCCCTACATCTCTGAACAGTTACTGTTTGAATACTCAAATATGGCCTTCTTCTATTACAGCCATTCCAAATTTCCCAATACACTGAGTGTTTCCCCTTAATAGCCAATTTAAAACCCATACCTTGAGAAGCTTTTCACATGCTGGATAGACTTTCAGGTAAACTTTGTTTGCCTCTTCCAAATTAGCCCATTTGAGTATACTATGCAGTTGACTGGTTGAAAGCCGATTATCTTTTATGGCAGGGGTCCCCAACCCCTGGTCCATGGCCTGGTGCCGGTCTGTGGCAGGTCTCCACCTGCCCACCTGCACGCATGGCGTGCCCACCTGCACACACGAGTACCCCATCCACCTGCACATGCACGCCCACGAGCACACCCCACCCGTGCATGCGCATTAGCGCGCCCTGCCCACCTGCGCATGCATGAGCATGCACCTCACCCACCCATGAGCGCACCCCACCCATCTGCACATGTGCACCCTGCCTCTCGTGCATGGACTCCACCCCCCCAACCAGTTCGCGGTTCAAAAAAGGTTGGGGACCTCTGTTTTATGGCACAAGATGGTGAAAATTCTGTGAATTGCTTTTCAAAATAGCACTTACTTGTTTGATGAACCATAGACAGTTTGACTTGTGTTAGTAAGCCACTCCATTTTACTGCATAGCATACAATATTTAGATAAATTCATAAGTATAAATGCTATTTTTCCCCTCTTACCACCAATTGCAGCAAGTTGAAACAGTAGTTTTTGTTGCATTTCCCTGAAGATCTTCGTCATCCTTGAAACAATAATCGAGGATGAAGAAAAAATGTTGATTTGGGAATGTATTTTAAAAAGTTGTTCTTTTGTTGATTTTTCCAGAGCTGCTGGAATTGTGGTCGTAAAGCGAGTGAGACCTGCAGTGGGTGCAACATTGCCCGCTACTGTGGCTCTTTTTGTCAGCACAAAGATTGGGAAAGGCACCACCGAATCTGCGGGCAGAGCTTACACAGCCAGGTCAAGCCAGTGCCCCTACCAGCAGGGCCTCGGTCTGCAGCAGCCACTCTCAAAGCTGTGGATGGAATAGCCAGTCCAGCTCTAGAGAAAACATCAGCCACCACCTCTCGGTCCTCCACCCCAGCCTCTGTGACAGCAGTAGATGCAAATGGGCTCTAAAAAGGAAGATGGCACTCAGCCCATTGTAGTAGTTTTCTACATTTGAAAAACAGACACCTCAAAGCATTGTCAAAAGTTTTTCCTCCCACACATTGGTCCCCAGGCAAACATGCTAGGGCGTTTCCCATTTCAGTAGGATGTTGTTTCTAGTCCTTCCATATTGGATCTTTGACTTACTTCCCTGCTTTCCTGAAATCTGGAGACTCTGGTCTGTTATTTTGTTTATCTGAATTTTATTGACTTTTTTGATGCAGTAAGCTTCTAACGGGAAGGTTGTTTTCCATTTTTACCACAAGGCAGAGCTTACTGGACAGCCTCTTCTCTCAGTTTGATGTTCAAATTCTTGTCCTGTACAATCTGGACTACTGATCCCACCCACCCACTCCCTAATGGCACTACATTTTGATACACTGAAGGATATTGCCGGTGAGCCATTGTTAGAAACTGTTTTTTTCAGACGAAACTACATGTAGTTAAATGGAAATTAGGAGAGGCTTGGTCATTATCTCTACCTGTTCCTCTTCTCACTTCTACCAAATCTCCCCTTTTCCTATTTATTGATTCCCATCCCCCCTTTTCAATAAATGTTCCCACAATCTCAACATATGAGAGGAGAAGGAGCCAGAAGGGCACTATTTGTTTGCTAAAAAGATGATCTAAAACTGTTCATATGTCTCACAAACTGTCTCAGTTGACCCATTTTAATCCTTTTGAGTTACTGTATAGAGCAGGTTTTTTATACATTCTTTTATGGGTTTCAACAGATAGAAGTGTTTCATCCAAAGATTTCTGCAAAGCAGGTTGCTGCTTTCTCCACACTAAATTGGTTTATCATGTTATCCTAACTGTGTCACACTCTTGTGCTCTCTCTGCATAGGAGTTGTTAATAAATGTCACAGATATCAAAGATCAATAGAATTATCTTTCTTCTCTAAGCAGTGTATGTATCTAAGCTGAAAACAAGGCAATATAGTACCTTACTAATGGATTTGATTATTTTCAGAGATTCACCCATTGCATCCTCAGCAACCTGACTTTTGTTTCACTTACTGCTTTTTAAAGTGTGTCTCTAGAATATTACTGGGGAACATGTGGCTCTTCAGATGTCATTGAACTACAGTTCCCATGATCCCTTATCATTGGCTAGCCTGGATAAGGCTGATGTAAGCTACAGCCTGATAACATCTAGAGCAGCCTTTCTCAAGTTTTTTTCGACCACAGCCATAAACTCAATATGAAAGAAATATAGGCCAAATCAGGATTGTATAACTCGCATAACAAACCCTATAAGGTGGTGTGTGAAGAATTGTTCCCAGTCTGTGCCCCCCCTTCAAATGTGCCAGCCCTACCCCCAGAGGCCATACGGCTCCCATTGAGAATGACTGCTCTAGAATATGCCTGGGGACCATGTGGCTGTCCCAATGTTGTTGGACTACAACTCCTATAATCTCTTATCATTGACTAAACTACATAAGGCTGAGGAAAGCTACAGTCTGACAACATCTAGGGGACCATGCATTCCCAATTTGTTTTAGAGGGCACTTACTGAAAAACTAAATCCACTGTCCCTTCTTAAGTGTGTCAGATTTCTTACGAATGATATGGTTCCACATGAAATTAATGTCCATTAAGTGAATAAATCAACCTGAGTGCTCACTGGAAGGACAGATCCTGAAGCTGAGGCTTCAGTACTTTGTCCATCTCATGAGAAGAGAAGACTCTCTTGAAAAGACCCTGATGTTGGGAAAATGTGAGGGCAAGAGGTGAAGGGGACGACAGAGGATGTGATGATTGGACAGTGCCATCGAAGCTACCAACATGAATTTGACCCAACTCTGGGAGGCAGTGGAAGACAGGAGGGCCTGGCGTGCTCTGATCTGTGGGGTCACGAAGAGTTGGACACGACTTAACGACTAAACAACAACAAGTGAATAAATAAAGGTAGCCACATGTTGGTTTGAATATAACTGAAAATCATGTGTTGTTGTTAAATCTGAAGTAAAGAGAAAAAATGGCAGTGCAACTTAAAGTGCTCATAAACATAAGGCATGCTCTTGTAATGTCAAAATATGGTCTATGGCATTATAATCACATTATCTAGAAGAGGGAGTTATAGGGCCTGTGCATTCATTATGGTAATAAAGGCTATTTTATAGCCCATAGAAACCTTTCAGTGGATGAGGACTAACTCATACAGTGGGTTAGTTTAGATCACAGATGTAGTTAAAAAATAACTTTTTCCCCAGTGCATACTTTGACTTTCCCCCCCTAATTCATATGTTACTTGTCTCCATCTGTTAATGTACCCAAATATTTACCTGTTTAGATAAATCAAAATGTGAAAGCAATCCCTAAGTGATGTATTGGCAAAGACAGAAGTCTTAAATTGATACTGAGGATGAAAGATCTGAAGATGCCAAAATGATCAAAAGTGATCAAAACATTCCTGATTTGTTCTGTTGGAGTCAACAGAATGAGACCCTCAAGTAGCCCATCAGAAGTAAAACAACAGTGGGTAGACAAAAACATTTATTATTCTAATGAGTTCAGGATCCCTTTAATTATAGTGGTCCTTAACCAGGAAAGTCCTGTGCAATGAAATTGTTCAGTTCAATAGCCCTCACTCTGTACAAGAGAAAGGGCAGTCAAATCTGATAACTTCATTCATTCATTCAAAATTTTTCTGATGAAGAATTATTTTAATTAAAAATGTCTAAAGCATGTTGGAATAACAAATACACACTATCTAATCTTTTGCTTTTCCTACTTTTTTTACTGTTCTAGTGCAGAAGTCTGGCACAAATTTTAGTCCCTGCTGACTGAAGTAAGAGTAGAAACCGAATTAGTTGTTGAATGATGAGTCAGTACTTATGTGAAGAACAGTAATTCAATTGGCTTATTCTGGTTGGGACTGCTAGTTAGTTCAGGCCTTCACCTTCGCCCCCCCCCTTTTTTTAAAGAGCTATTGACATCAGTTTTCTAATGCTGCCAGGAGGTATTTTGTATTCCTAGAATTTCGCTGCAAATTATTATAGTTGTGGTGCTTACTTAATTGGCTTACAAATCCCATTTGCCACGTAATTCTTTGAAGAGAACTGAATGCTACAAGATCAGTTCCAAAGAGTGTGTGTGTGTGTGTGTGTGTGTGTGTGTATAAAAGAGAGAGAGAGAATTGATATTCTGAAATTGTATGTAAATAGACAGTCTTCCATAACTTAACATGCAACTACAATAGCTTGCTTTGAATTGAGATAATACATTTATGTAAATAGGTTAAATACAAGCTGTCATGATTTTAAAATGATCTTTGGAAATGAAAGTGCAAGATGTGAAATTCTGCTATGGGACGATTCTGTGGATTCTGTTTTCTATATATATATTTTTGTCATTTGATTCTCTACTAGGAATTTTTGTTACTGATTTCATGTGCATAACTTATTTAATGTACTGTATAAAGGAACCCAAACTGTTACAGATGTATTTAGTTTGTTCTATTCACAGTAGTCAATAAAAAGACTATATTCACGTTAGAACCCCTGTCTTCTTTGTTGATTGCTGTCAAGTTGTCCCTGATTTTTTGTGCACCAGGAATGAGTGACCTCCAAAATGGCCTGTCCTCAACAGCCTTGCTCAGTTCCTGCAGACTCAAGCCTGTGACTTCCTTTAAGGAGTCAATCCCTCTTTCATTTGTTCTTCCTCAATCTTTCTCAGCATCACTGATTTTTGAGAGAATCCTGTCTTCTCATGATGTGCCCAATTAGGACAGCCTCAGTTTCAACATTTTTGCATCCAGAGGTAGTTCAGACTTGACTTGATCTGGGAGCCATTTGTTTATCTTTCTTTCAGTGCAGGGTATATGCGAAGCTCTCCTCTAGCTCCACATTTCAAATGATTCAATTTTCCCCTGCCTTAACTTGGTTATATGCAGTATAGTTTCTTTTAAATGATGATGGCCTTTATGGGGAAAGTAGTATCCATTGGTGACTAGAATTCCATGAAAAATAAACAATATGCTCATGGCACAGCTTGAGTCATTGTGACACATGGGTTAATCATTAATGCATTCAAAAAAATCCATCGCCTGACAGTCAACTATACAGTTGAAGGCCAGAAAGATGAAAACAAATTTGTTTGTGCTGTCATTCCGCAGGAAGACAGAAAAGATTCAAAATAAAGCCCATTTGCTTTAACTTACTTTTATTTTTGGTTGTGCTGGTAAGTTATTGAATGCAAAGCAATAGTTCTGAGGTAAGCAACAACAGTGTCAATACATCTTCCCCTGGAGCAATGCTAAAATGTCTAGCAAACTATGCTCTGACTACGGAGGCCCATCCACTTTTAGGATGCTTTTTCTAATGCCAATAGCAGCAGTAAAGAATTTGGCAACACTATGAACATAGGATTGGAATCAGACAACAGCACATGCATACTTTGTTGCTCTGTACAGCCAGGAAATCGGCCCGTCAAAGGGGAAACAAGTTCTTCACGTACGCCCTTATAATATGTACACCACAAGACATGTTCAGTTGTTTCTATCTGCTCCATTCCACATGGGCAAAGGCGCTCTGCCCAGGGGTTCTTTTTATACCGTCCCTCCTGCACTGCTGAAGGTAGTGCGTTCAGCCGGGCCAGAGTAAACACCCTTCTATACCTGGGTTGCTCCAACTGGGCAAAATAAGGGGCTGCTATGACCTTGTATAAGCTGTCCTCCCTAAGATAGGGACACTGCTGGGGCACTGCTTAGATCATTTTGTCTCTCAATGTCCTCAGTACACTGCTTAATGGTTTTCTTTGCCTGTTCCATTCCCATGGTTAACAGAGTCAGCCTAGAGAGGCCCAAAGAGGCTATTTTTTGTTCAACTAACTGAACCCATTTTGACTTAAAGGTGTCTTGCAGGATCAGTGGTGCAAGACCAATAGGGATATAAGACAGTCTGAGCCAGTACATGAAAATTGCAATCCATATCCTGGCTTTGATTTTAATTTGACCAGTTTCCAATCTTAATTTTACGTTGGTGACATCCCTGGGGACTCCTAATATTGCCCTCAGGAATTTTGATTGTACACGTTCTAGGGTTGCAATATTTTGGAAGGGGCCGAGTTGGGAGCCAACTGTTCTACTGCTTTTGCGTGGAACAGTTTAATGGCTGAGGGAATGTAATGGGCCCCTCTTGTTGTCATAAAGTGTAGTACTGCAGCAGAACTTCTCTGGGCATTTAATGCCACATAATCACCATGTGCTTTCCTAGAGCCATTAGATTGGAAAACGGCACCTAAATATTTAAATTGGTGGATCCTCTGATCAATTATATGCTGATTTATCATCCATGTTCACATTATTGGCCTTTTGGCAAAATACATGATTTTTGTTTTTTAAAATTAATTATCAGGTCTTCTTGCTCACAATATATAGACAACCTTTGCAATGGTCTTCTAAGCCTAATTGGGGTCCTAGAGATGATAGCTGCATCATCGGCATACAGTAATGTTATATGCCTCCCTGTGATTTTAGGGGATGAAAGTCAACATTTTTAACTGGTCCACTATGGAATCAATATAAAAATTAAATAAAAGTGGAGCAAGAAGACAGCCTTGTTTGACTCCTTTTTGGGTTTGAATGGCATTAGTAAGATGGCCGTGAATACTACATCTTACCATAAGTGAGGTATTTTGATAGAGAGCCTGAATAAGTTGAAGCAGACACCTGTCAAAGTTGGAAACCTCTAATTTCTTCCATAATTTGACCCTTGATGTTGAGTCAAAAGCTGCCTTGAGATCTATAAAGGCTACGTGGAGTAAAGTTGCTTTATCAGAGGTATATTTTTCAATAAGATACTGTAATATCAGACATTGATCAATGATAGATTGACCTTCCCTAAAGCCTGCCTGTTCTTCTGCAAGTATCTT